CAATGATAAATGTCCTAACTGCAAAGCAGCTAGAATTCGTGTTAGGCGAATCTCACTGTCATTCTGAAGTATTACAGAGGGTTTTTACACATTTTTAGAAGTATTTAGAGGACATTTAATTAATGTTTAAAATATAAAGAGTGCTTTTTTTAAATGTTTCATCTGATATTTTTTTTCTGATCTATAAGTCTGCATCGTGATAATCCATAGCAGAAGGGCTTTTAGTAAAATTTCCAGAGGTATTGATTTCCAATCCCCTTTCACTACTTTCCAGAGTTCATCAATTACGGTAGATTTGCGCTTATCGTAAGAGCTCTTTTCAAGAGACCAGAGACAAATAGTTCTTAGGTGAAACGTCAGGAAACTTCCCAGAAATACGTTAAAAAGGCATATATGCAATACCTGTATCAGTCTTCATTTTTTCAAGGAACGCAGTAGTGCATTTTGAAGCATGACTCGTTGCTTTATCTCTTGATGAAATTTCACTCATTTGTGAGTCATTGTGATAAAGAAGTATACTTTCTTCTGTAAAACTTTCTCTTGATAGTAGTACATTGAATTTATTTTAACATTTTATTCCACTTTTCTTATTTTTAATTTCTCATTGTAAGAGAATTATACTGCAATCATAAACCCTTTATTGAAATTTTCTTTGCATTGACGAAACCAGGTTTTAAATTTTTTTTTTCTCTTCGCTTTCGATAACAAAAATGCTTTTCCTTGTTGGAGTCATTTAAGTTAAATTATGCTTCATCAAGGGACAAAACGTATTTCCATATTTTTTCCTGCTAAATAGTTTTCATACAGGGTTCTATAAATTGTTTCGCGCTGTGCCACGTGCCTCCGCAAAAGCTGATGAACGTTGCTTTTTTTTAGTATTTCCAATTGTAAATTTTGGTTTATTATTTTAGTTTTTGTTGGTACAAATGTTTCAAAGACTTCGCAATAGAGTTCTCCGTCGGCAGATTTTTACCAACCATTTAACTTTAGCAATAGTAAATCTATTTTGCGGATATTTGTTTTGACACTTTTTTTTCCATGTAAAATTAACTGATGGTTTTTCCTTTTCAGATTAATAGTGTTGCTTATTTTGCACTTAACAATTTTAATATTACTATGCATTTTACAAGGTTATGAAATAGCGATATTTCTCTTTGGAAAGTGCGAAAACATATCCTTCAATCCGCAGCTTGCTTACATGCGACATTTTGAAAAGAATAAATAGCAGACGATAATTCTCATTTCAAATAATAAGCTGCTGCCAGAAATTTTGTTCCAAATCATTTGCTTTTTTAAAATGTTTTATTGTAACTGTTTCAAAACGTTTCAACACCCTCTGTATGTTGATTTACGGATGATGCACCCACAGTATGCCTGGAACAGCAAATTTTCAACATTCTCCTATCGCAGCATACTTAAAGACGATGAGCAGTGACGATTGTTGCAAGCAAGTAAAATTTGCTGAATAATGCTCGAAACACAATACTAAATTAATTGCTTGGTGACAAACTAGAATAAACGAAACCATCAATTTCAGGCTTTTGGGAAGTCGGAATAACTAATAAAAGGAACTGGACCATCCACACATTTTGATGATATAGTAACAGACATTGTTTTTAAAAACAAATTTAATTTTTAATGTGCATCATTTATTTTTTTATTTTTTTATACTTTTTTGTTAAATGATAAGACACATCCTACATCTCTCTTTAATACTGTTACGAATTTTGTATAATGTAACATGAACATCTTCAAAAAAAGTGAAGCTCTGCCGGAAAAATAAGATTTCAGGGGCTAGTCTATTTAACATTGAGGAAGATGGCTATCTCGCTAAATTGACAAGATATCGTCAAACTGGCGACGGTTTTGGCGACTAATTTTTGTCTCCAAATCTGACAAAAGTCGCTAAATCTTTCAACCATTTGGAGACCATTTTAATTTGCAACCATCTGGCGACACTGAGTAACTATAATTGATCCCTATAGGTAACACTAACCGTATCCGGCCCTTAGATGTAATTTTAACCGTATATGCCTTCTAGTAATTTAGAGAAATGGAACGTACTGGAAATATCTCGGAGGACGGGAAATCTATTTAAGACCGGCGAAAGCGTTAGTTTTCAGTCTCAGAATCGAATTCGGATTATTGAGAGATTTCCTTGCGAACTTTAGATGCCATGTGCATTGCTTGTGTTTAACATCCATAGTAGTTTGAAGTGGTAAGTACTGATTATGGTCTGTAATACTGACAGCTGTACCACTATTTTTGTGGAAAGTTGCAGAACCGTTAAGTCTTTCTTTTGATAAAATAAATTTTAACAATCTATCATTGGTTCTGTGTGCATTCAATCCATTTACTAGCCCTTACGAACGTAACGATATCCTTATCTTAGTTGCATGCCCGTCACATACCATATGCACCGCATTTTGCTAGCTCAAAAAACATATTTCATACATTACAAAATTTATTTTATGCGCTTAACATATTATATACACCGCATTTTGCTAGCTGAAAAAACTTAATTCAAAAATTCAGAGTTTCATTTCTGCTGCTTGCAAAGCGATTACTATTATTTTAAAGTCTAAAAACTCGTTATTTCAAATCGCCTATTGTAATTTGAGCCTTATCTGTACAAAAATCGTGCTTTTCCTTTTGAATAATTATAGTTGCTTTTGTACTGTTTTACGTTCTAGCTTTTATTACAAGTATCAAACAATTTTTATATTTTTTAATAAACGTTGTTGGATTTTTTGTGAGCTATGCTATGCACTGAAGTGTTCTGATCAATATATTTTTTTCGTAGTTCACTAATGGCGCTAAATGCACCAAATCAGAGAACACAGCATTTACACACTGAACAAATGCAACAGTTTACTTTCATACAAATTGTACGAGCGGGTAATAAGCAATCATTGACGTAAACAAAGCAGTTGAACTTACAACTGAACTTATTAAATCAATTGCAATTGAATTTCATAATGCAGGTTAGAAATATGATAAACACGTTGAAGCTGTCATCAGATTGCACCAACGTTGTCAAAAAGTGCTTCCGGCAATCAATTAATTATATTTATTAATATAATTGTTATATAATTATTAATTATAACATTAATAATTATTAATATTATATATTTATATAATTGTTTCCCCAGAGGAATTCAGTAGTTAGTGTTTCTGATATTGTTATCTTTAAATGTGAAGTGTTAATTGTATTTTTATTTTCTTGCACGAAGTAAAGGACGTAATGAAATCTCAAAAATTTACGAGTATTATATTTCCACAAAACTAGCCATATGGGCAATTTTTTTGCGTGTCGTACGATTAGAATAAAGGACATTTTTCTTCAAAACGGATTCTAAAATGTATTTAAAGTGGATTCAGAAGGGATTTTTTTGTGACGTCTTTACGTATGTACGTATCTACCTATACATATATGTATGTATATCATATAACTAAAAAATAATTAGCCGTAGAAGTTGAAAGTTTGTATATGGAACAGCTACAGCATCTTATAGTACATTTCTCGTCTTTCTCGCAATTAGCACATATATATATATCCACCCCTTCCCCGGCTTAAAATCCTTACCCGGCTTTTATTTTCGCAATCATTGGTTGTCGTTATATACTTCCAAATGCGGAAGTGTTTTAAATTAGTGTCAAATAAAAAAAAAGAACAACTTAATTTTGGACAAATAACGAAATCTAACTTTTGATGCGGTGTCCCGGTTCCTGTATTTGTTATTTAGGATGTTTTTAATCTCGTTGGGAAAAAAAATTTGAAATTTATGTTACTTTCAACTTGCTCCAAAAGATCGGTTAATTAAGTTAAAATACTTCGAGGAAATAAGGTTAAATGAAGTGCAGCAAACTATGTGTATAATTTAATAGACCATACTATAAGGCATTTTCTCCTTCCTTTTCGCATGCCTTCGCGGTATAATTGGAAACACACTCGACGCGTATTCAAGAGGTTCAGGATTGGAGTCCCAGTGAGGGCATTGCACATTTTTCATGTTTCCTGTTTCGATAATCCTAATAGCTCTACAATGCATGGAAGCCATGTGGTGTTCACATCAGATTTTTTTTATTATCTTGACTAGAATCATTGTTTATGCTTTGCTGCGAAAAAAATAGATTTGTTTAAAAACTGTGAGGAACTTACCTTCCTCTTCAGCAATACAGCAATAGGATAACAATGCGTGGAACAGGAAAATACTGTTTGGGATCCTAATTTAGACTCATTAGACTTGACAAATGTGTCGAATAAAAGACTTTGGAGGTTTAACATGCCATCCCTCAGACACTGCAGTCGAAGTACTTTCTCTGATAGAAATTTTACATCTCAAAATTATCCAAAATAATTTAAATTTTTAAATTAAATTTCCTAGGATGTTTACTGTCAAACACATATTATTCCACTTGAGTTTCTGTCAGATTTAAGTTCAATCAATACTATGAATATGGTCTCAGAAATTTAACATTACTTGACTTGCGGTGTTCATTTTCCACCATCGATGACTTTCCCAACATCCATATTTGAAATTTTGTAATTAGCGCATTTCTCAATTGTGGTACAAATGGTGTTGGTTCATTTATCATTTAAGTATGTTTTTCCATGCGTATGACTACTCCATAATTTATTACAATCGAAAGCAAATCTTAAACATTCGATTTCTTATTCATGCGGCTAACTAACTTATAATAAAAAGATTTAATAGAGTAGCAAAGGAGGAAAATGGTTTATTTTTAATTAACGATAATGCCTATAAAATCGTAAAATCAGTTTCAGTCTCCTCAAGAAAGGTTTCAGGACCTTTCGGAAGACTGCACATATTTTAAAGAAATTTTATGAATTAAATTGCACAAATTATTAATAGCTATGAAAGCTATTTATCATATATAACATTTAATTAAAATTATATATACATTTAATCAAAATATCTATGCTAACCAAAATTTCTGAAAAAATTTATCGAAAAACCTGTTTTATTTATTTACAGTCAAAATTAGAGGAGCTCCTTTCAAAGGATTCTTTGTTGTTGCGCTGGACGCAAACACGCACGAAAGAATTGGCACGTTCTTAGATGCTAACGGCATGCAGCCTGTCCCATGCTCTGCAGTTACCCACACAGATGGTAGACCCAAAGTGATGGCAACAATGCTGTGGCAGCCACCAAAGGATAAAAAGAGTGGAGAGGTTATTTTTTTGTAAGTAAATGAGATGTTACTGTCCATGTATCATTAGCGACAGCTTAACAAAAAATACTTTGCGGGGGTGGGGGAATTGTGAATTAAATTAATTTTTATACTCACTGAACTGATATTTATGTACCAAATATGTAATCACATAAAAATTTTTAAAGGGAAAAGAAAATCTGAATGTACCGTTGTTTATCACAATGCGAGAAATATATACATACATTTATGCAAATTTTGTATTATTTAATTTCTTCAAAATATAATGCAGGACTCTAACATTTGATGGCAACAATTTGAAAAGTAAAACGGACATTTATAGTGATTCAACGCAAAATCACAAAATGAAAACTATAGTCCTTCAGTTACAAAGCCGCGTTGGACTAATAACTTAATGACTTTTAAATTGAAGAAAAATACCTAGTATTTCACAAAAAGTATACTATCTTAACTATTAACTATTTTAATTTAACTATCTTTTTTAATAATATTTTCTAACTCTTCTTCCGAAAGGATATGAATATCTCTTAAATAAAGAGGCAGATGAACAGAAAAAATTAAATTTTTATTGCATCAGTATAGGTTCATTCTTTGCAGAGTTATAAGCGAACATACGCTAAGTCGACAGATCTAAGCTAGAAAACCAATAACGGCAGTGATTTTCAAGCAGAGCCACAATTAGTGCTTTATTATGCTTAAAACAAGTTGAATATCGCGAATTACGAAATCTCTTGTGAGTAAGTGTAACTGAATACGATCTAGTTTCCTTCTAAAATCTCTTTTAAGAAGGCATCCTTCCCCTTAATGTAGATACCCCATTATGCGTTAATCAAATGAATAACATAACTATCGCTGAGCAAATGTCAAAATCACCGAGAAATTCAGCAGCCCTTTCAATCTCCAGACTAACGTTTCTTATGGCAGTGGTATTTATTAATACATTTGATCAAAAGGGACGTTCTTGTAAGCGTATGAAATCAAGACTACTTCAGACCATTTCCTCTCTGTGCTGTCAACATGTTACTGCCAACTGTGCATTATAATTGGTAGTAGAATTTTTTTTTTTTTTTAATCTGAAAGCTTTCAGATTTTATATTAAGCCCAAAAAGCGCGTTTTTTTTTTCATTCATACATACGCATACATTTCAAGAACATTTGGCCCAACGCCCCCTATCAGCTAAAAATATTTAAAAGCAGCATATCTTTAGAATCTCTCATAGACAGTCTTACGCCCTGGAGAAAAATTCAGTACAGTGTGTTGCCGCTACTCGCTTTGAAATCGTTCAGTTTGTTAATCAAAAGTTCGTTAAATTTTAAAAAATAAGAAATAGATAATAAAGCAAATTCGAAATTCAAGATTACGGCTTCCAGGTGCCCTTATTCAGGTGGAGGACTACATTATTCATAATTCGATGGCTCTAGATATCTTTTTTTAATGAAAGAAACATTCATGCAGATTCTTCATTATTTAATTTCATTAAATATAATACAGGCCGATAATTTTTTGGGGCAACAATTTGAAAAGTGATACAAGCTCTTAGTGATTCAACGCAAAATGCCAAATGTCCAAAATAAAAAAATAAAAGCAAATGCATAATAGTGCAAAATAAATAAAACCAACGCATCAAAAATAAAAGCAAGCCAAAAAAAATATTTAGCGTAGCAGCATTGAAAACGTTCTATAATTTGTTCAAATCGACCTAGCTGCATCTGGAATTTTAGAACATCTGAAGTAATATCATTAAAAAATTTATCAGAGCTTTAATCTATGCTATTTATTCAGTTGAATTTATTTAGTTTAAAATTATATCCAGTAAAGTGTAAAAAAATAATTTAAAGTTATTCTTTGTTTTTAGAAGTGCCTGGATAATTGAACGAATGCCTAATTTTTCATTTCTTGTAATAATTAATACACTCGCTATAAAGGAATATAGGATGACACTGTGATAGTGCTGTTGTCCTGACCTATTTAAAAAAAATAAATGTCCCCCTTCCCTAATTCTGTAGTTTAATTAAATGCACCTTCTTACATTTGCCATATAAATTTCTATAACATTTTACGGCTTCTTTTCCTACCGGTGATTTATTTCCAAGAGGTTCATCAAATGCAGGATTGTGTAAATTAACAATAAGATATAAGGTGCAGAATGATTAATTAATTATAGTGCATTTTTCTTGCTGAGTGCTTGATTTTGTTCGATTTGTTTTGCTGAGTGGTTGATTTCGACTCGGAACTCTTACTTTGTCTTTCCTTCCGCTTCATTAACTTATTATTTAATTAAATGTTGATTCTTTTTTCCATTTCTTCTAGTTATTGGGAAGAACAAGAAAGTAGTTTAATATTTTATTGCTTTGATAGTTTTTTAATTTGAAATTATGTAATGATAGAAGAAAAATTCACATAATGCTGAAAAGGTCAGCATTAAATTTGTTGGATATTCATCGAATTTCTTTCGATACATTTTTTTTTCATAAAGATGCCTCTATTTCTTTATAGTGTTCGGTTGCAATAAACTAAATTTATTCCTACCCGGAATTCTTCTTGCAAGAAACTGCTTACCATATTTTGAATTGCAAAAACGGAGATTTCGTTTTTATTGAGGAAATTGAAACGGTTATGACTGTAAGAACTTGAAATGCTACCACAACAGTTATAACTAAAACTTAGCTTTATATTTAAGGACGAAACTCTAGTACTGCGATAGTTCTATAGAACTTATAATTTGCTGCGATAGTTCTATAGAACTTATAATTTATAATTTGCTTATAATTTTAAAAGCTTGAATAGCACCAAAACTGAAAGAGGAAATGTTCCCATTTTGATTTCTGACTGAGATTCCATGCTGTTTTAGATAACAGAGATTAGAAAAGTACCAGATTTATTTATTCTGGTCGAAAACAAATTGCTAAACAACAGCGTTTTACATGTTGGGGAATATTTTACTTTATTATAGTATTGAAATTTATAAGTGTTACATGCTAATTAAACTATTTTTTCTTCTTAGGGCAACAATTCTGGAATCTTTCTCAATCTATTACAGTGGCATAATGGCTTCAGTACCAGTGAAGAAAATGAAGAAAAGAAACCGAAGAGAAACTCATTTCTGCAACAAATGCTTGTTCGATGACAGAGATATTTCCCTTAGAAACTTCACGACACACAATTCAATTTTTAATTGATACTATAAAAAATGATTTGTTACGTTAAAGATACTGGAGTGCCACATTTTTACATTTTGAGTTTTTTTGAAGAATTTATTTGTATTTCGGTATTAAGTAATATTCTAAATGCAATAAAACATATTAGATTTGAAATAGGTCTATTTAATGAATTAAAGTTTTGAAAGGATGCTTTCTGAAACTGTTCACTGGTTACAGAACTAATTTAATCATTTTTTTCAATACTCACGACAGATGTATCATGCATAGGTGCTGTTTGCGTTATGTTGAAGTTTACTTCTGATAAATCCGTTATAAGTTTAAAATATCGTTAATTCGATATCGCGACAAATTCAATCTTCCTTATCGAGCATTATTTCCTGGCCTACACTACATTTAATGCGAACAGGAAACTTAAATTATCGATAGGTGAGCAAATAATTTAACAATAATTTATAGTAGTAAAAATGTAATTACCTCATAGACTTGTCGAACATTGAAAGGGAAATCAGTCTAATTGTATTAGTATTCATCATTAATGTATACAAAAGGAGGCAAAGTAATTCTAAAGAATGTTTGACACTGAATTTAAATTATTTGTTGTGGATGCTGGGGACATTACGTTAACAACTTGATCAATACCTGTTTCTTTCAATAAGTAGAAGACACTAGGGGTATGATATACTTGTTAAGAGTTTAGTAGACAAATGATTCTTGAGTAAAATATTAACTTCTGAATGTATAAATTTGTTCTCTCCTTTCATTATACGCCTTTATAGCAAGTAAATGCATCATATACCTGCTTCACAAAATCGGCATCTGAATGTGCTCACTTTCAATACAGCATCTGAGTAAGAGGGAAGAAGTTCCGGATGCAAAATTATAATACATACTGAAAGTTACAATTATTATATATTATCAAAATAGCACTATAATATGATTTAACTGAAAGCTCATAGCTTGCATAATTATATAGCTGAAAAATTTATTATTTTTCAGACCACAGAACGCAGAACTTGTCAAGGGAAAAGTGCCTGAAGCCCTCAATATAGCTGATTTTCCAAAATAAACAAATCAGGTACGTTTCGTCGAACAGATCCATTCAGACTGAAAACGGCATTTCCTAGTTTTGGTTTATTGAGATTACAGCAAAGCACATTAGAGCTATCTGACTAAGGAGAGGGATGCCTTCGTGGAGGATTTTCTAAGGGAAACTGCTTCGTATACACGTTACACATGGGGAAAACTACGAAAACGCCCATGCAGTCAGCCCGTTCGCAGAATTCGAACCTCGGATGGAACTACCAGTGTTCTGCGACTTTACCGCTCGGCCGCTGGTGGGCCTCGGATTTCCTAGTATTAAATTTTATTAACATTTTCTCATCTCTTACTAAAGATGCTTCAGTAGCTTTGTCCCGTTTCCCAAAGTACCTGCGTGTTTGAAAACATAAAAGTGAACTTAAGATCAATGCTAAAAATTTTAAACAAGAAAAAGCTTGTAGCCTAAAAAAGGAAAAATCATCTATGAGATGTAAGAAAAAAACCTATACAAGGTAGTCTGGTTAGGCATTACAAACAAATTTTACAGTGTTAAATCTGCACGTATTTAAACCTCATTTCAAGGGGTAGGCCCTTTAGCGTGAAAAATAAAAACTTTATTCAAATGAAAAAGTCTTGTCAAAGAGGGGTCCTGTTAAGACCAAAAGGTATTCGTAAAGAAAAATGAAAAGGCGAACGCCCGATACGTTTTCTTTCTAAAATAAACTGACGTGGATAAAGGTTGCCAGGAAATGACGAAGGCTTGAGGAGTGCTACCAGAATTAAAAAATCTGTACCTGAGAATACCTGAGATATTGAAAAATAACCATTATAAAATGTAGTGGTGGTACTAAAATTTTTCAATTTTATTTTAATGGTTATGCGTTAGTAAAAGGTTTGAGAACCGCTACTCTATATTCGTAAAGCGTGGCAGGTGCTGAGCAGAACTAAATTCACGTTATACTCAAAATAAAGGATTTACCAATGAAAACGAATTGAACATATACATAATGTAAGAAAACTTATGTACTATGAGTATGAAAAACTTTTCTAAAATTTATATATGTAAATAAATTAGTACACAAAAAGCAATAAATAAAATTACACATTGCGAATAAAATACTAAATCATGCGCAAAAATGAAAGTATAATATTATATGTTTGTAATGTAAATCAAAATCCCCTTATGTTGTTCCATTTGCACATACATTAATTTACTTACTCCGCAAATAACGTATGTACGCATGCTTTATAAATTTTATTTTTCAAGAAACACTCAGAAATTTTCAGCTGCCGTTTGGCGTTTGTATTTATTTTGCAAATCTACTCATGACCAGAGATTTTTATAGTTTGGAGAATTTATTGCGAGAGCTATTACTGATTTATTGCGAGGAAGACTATTTCAGAGCGCATTGTGTTCTTCTAATTTCAGGGAACAACTGTATTATTCAAAAATGTTTTCTGTGGAGTAAAGCATAATAGCAGTCTAGTGGGTCTATATAATTATTACTTGAACGATAACAATATTACGTATATTTTTCATAGTAAAGTGAAGATTTCTTTTATTCTTTTTACTTTCCCTTTCTCCCCCCTTTTTTGTATGTGTGTGTGTAAGATTATTCGAAAAAACAAAAAAAATTCTTCCCTGTGCTGTTAATAATAGAATAACTCTCCATTGGTCAAAATTCCCAGTGACGTCATGCGCTTTTCACTTCTGATTATCCTTCTTTGATAAATGAGCATCTCGGATTGATAACACTAATTGCGCGAAAAACGACGAGGAAGAGATGATGTTCGGATCAACTGCAGGTACATTACCTGGCGGCAGCTTTTCCAAAGAGGTATGAGATATATCTATTCAGATCTGATTCACCATTCTGCATTTATCTGTTTCTTCCCTCCCTATAAACATTTTCTAGATTTTTTTTTTACAGATTTGATACTATGGAATAATTTAGATGCGACATTAAATTTTCACAGTTATCTACCAGTTCCATAGGAACAAGAAACTTAATGCCAATAATATATTCTCAGAAACCTGTATAAATTTAACGAACAACTTAATAAGACCCAGTTTTAAATTTAAAAAAAATTAGTTAATTAATTTTTCTCTTTCCCACTATATTCTCTCACTCGCCATATATTTCTCACAGGTACTGTGTTATCGCTTATAGGCAATTTGTTATGCAGTGGTTGTTGCTTACTTAGCTATTACATTTAACTAAGAACTGCGAGAGTATTTAGTAAAATTATATGCAACAATTCTTAGTTATATCGCAGCTATATCCGCTCTCTGACTCCAACGATTGTTTTCACAGTGCATATTTTGATGCAATGCTAGAATTTGTTATTTGACTTATAGTGCTGATAGGATTTTTGCGAGCAGAAATGAAATTGTTCCCTTCTCTTTGACGTGAACCTGAGACTCTCAAGTGCTAGCTGGATATATTAATCTCTGCATTACAAGAGCGCGTGGGAAATATATTCTCCGAAACCTTACAGTGGAGAGGAGATGATCCTCAAAAATAAATTGGAGATCAATTATTGTCCTCTCTCTTTTAATTTCAAATTACGGAAGATTTTTTTTGAAAGAGTGGAAAGAATATAAAAGTAGCCCCTAAGAAAACGTAAAATTTTTAATTTCTTTTACACACACTATCACCCATAATCTATTCTCAAAATGTTTCCATATACCAAATCATAAATTGTATTTCAAATTTAATGATTTGTTTTAATTCACTAAAAGCTGAGCGATTTATGAGCAAGAAATGCACTTCTCGGTAATCTAAATTTTTATTTTATTTTTTTTATAATACAACTATGTGGTGCTAATTACAATGAATTTAATTTCTACAGTGAGACTTTGGTTCACAAATACAATTCGTTATTGAAGGCCTTTCGTCAACCAAAATGTTTCTCAACTGAAACAATTTTTCCCATAGGAATTAATGTAAAATGGGTTAATTCCTTCCTGGATTACAAATAGTTGCTTATTTAAACTTTAGTACTTTGTGCACAAATTCGTAAGCGAAGAGAAATCAGTAAATATGAAACAAAAAGGATAAACACAATATTAAACAGATAAAATAGACGAAAATTTTATTTCACTACATTTATACGAAGGAGAGTGAACGGCTTAAATGGAAAATGCTAAGGAAGATATTATTCGGATGCAAAATTCTCTTCCATCAGCTAAATACCTTTAAAGGCTTCATTGTTTAATCTTTCCTTTGTCTCTAAGCACTACTCGACTCTGCTTGAGACTTAATGGGTCACTCTTTCAATCAAAATTTGCCCAGTGTGATTTGTCGTTGGTGACATTCGGTTTTTAGACTGAGATATGACACTTTCATTGAAAATGCTAAGTCGTGTCTTGCTATTGCTGTATAAGAAGGATATCCTTAAGTGAAAATTTTGCGTCTTAGCCCATTTTGAATAAGCTCTGCAAATCAGAGACTTAAGACAATTTTTTCACCTTCTTTTCCTGAAAACATTTGTTGCTATGTTTGAAGTTGTTTTAGCTAATTTTTTATGCTCTTGTAATAACTTCTTGTCACCAGAGTTAACTTCCTAGCCCGTAGTTTTACTTCGAGACACAATATCATAGGTAGCTGAATACCTTCTAAGAGTCAAAGTTTTCAAAATCTTTGACTGCAACCCAATCTGCTGTAATTTCCTCCAGGCTGAGTTCATGGTCCTATAAGTCAGTTGCTACTAGACTTTGTTAATGAGAGTTAAGGGGGGGAGGAAATAATGAAAAAAATAATGTTTCCAGAAATCTCCGAAATTTAATCACGTAGCTTTGGTAATCACGTGTTGCTGCCTTAAATGTTCGTTGTTCGAGACACCGTTTGTCATCAGGGCGTTTTTTGTTCAGTTAATTTTTTCGTAAACCAAACTGTTTGTGAAGTAACGCATTTGCTGTCCAAAGTTCCACTGTTTATTGAAATGATACTTTTTAAGAACATTTACAACTTTATTACAATATATAAAAGATGTTTGCAATTTCGGCAATTTCGTATGTAATCGCTAAAAATACAAAATCATGTGTTTTTAAAATTTTTACAGTGTTTTGTATTTTTTTTAACTGCCCCTTTAAAAAAAATGAATTTTCATATTTGCGATCTTTTCAGTTGCAGACTTGATACTATGTGGATTATTGCTTCATTGAATGCCATAGGAATGCCTTTTATGTCTTACAGCCTTTTCCAAGTTTACGATATTACAGTTATATATATATATATATATGCAGTTACAGTTATATATATATGTGCATTAGAAAATACAAACGCCTTTAAATAAGTCTGCAGGATTCCTCACTCTTTTTGTTTAAGATAAGCGTCGAGGAACCTAGTAAACTATGTAACGACTTATCGTTGAGTTCAAAGAACTAACGAAGTAGACTCGAGACGGGTTAAAATACCTTTTATTTCACTCAAATAAGAATAACAGTCGGCCCCTTTCTCGAGCTTACAACAAAGCCTCTACTCGGGCTTTAGCACAGAATGAGAAATAAGAAACTAAACTATAACTAACTAAAGGAGACTTAGCCGAAGTTAAACACAAGTATTTAACGTAGTTGGCCTTTGAATTTAAACTAGCCGGCGAATATCAAAAGGCACGTAATAATCCGGCCGAGCGTAACAGCTTCAACAGTGATTTAGCCCGAAAACAAGCACGCGCTACTAAGGATTCCTAGCACTCTCTATCGAAATTAGTTGAGCCTTCCTTAAATACTTCTTCTAATTCATTTGCATTCAACGCGATTCTAAAAACTCATTCTGGTAAGGAGTTAGCTGTAAGTGGAAACAAGAATTGATAGGAAAGGGCTTTAAAATTAAAATAACTGTTATAAAATTAAAATATACCTTACAAGTCGACAAAAATCATTCAGTTTTCCGATTTACATGTTAACTTAAGTTCGGTTATTAATCCTCGACAGGTTTATAATAATATTCCCGTTCACAATCATTAAAACTTCGATTTTTTTGCTTGATATGATATATTTTTATAGGTACTTGCGTAACAACTTTATATTCCATTAATAATTAAAAATATATTTAACATAGGAGATTAGAAATCATTTAGTTAATTAAAATTATTCTAAAAACTTTCTTATAAATTGCCGATAAATTATAAGTTAAATGTATTTTAAATTACATTAGTTATGTTTAAAAATGAAATAAAGATTGAAATTCTTAACATGCTCATTTAATATTTTTAAATGGATTTGTTTGTTAACCAACTACAGATTGATCAAGTTGGAAAGATAAATTAAAATTCTTGAACGTTAACGAATGAGAACACTCTGAGAAAGTTTATGCACAAGAGCATGTGAGCTGTAAATTAAAATTCTTACGTTTTGCGCAATATAAAACTTGCCAAAGCACAAAGCACCCAACTAACTAATAAATAGTAACAAAATGGTCTAAAGGTTTTGGAAACTTTGCACTAAGAACACATCTCGCCATTGTCAGGACTTGAGGGAAATACTAACAGGCAGTAAATAAAGTTTGCAAAAGGTTTTAAAATTATAATAAAATACGTAAAAGTCAGATGTCCTTAACGTATTTGATTGTACTTAAAACGCATCATCATACTACATTCCTTGCCTAATCTGCTTGTTTAAAAGCATATATATATCAAAAAAGAATATGTTAATTTTATCTAGGTAAATCCAAATGTAAATGCAACTTGTCTGTTTTATCTGTATGTACTTAAGAATAGTGCTGTGTTAGTTTAAATACTATATATTTAACTACTGAATCTGTAAAAGTAACAGTCGCTAATGTGATCATGAAGTTTTTAATTACACAGCACTAAGAACTGCTACAGCTCGAAAATTACGTTAGATAACTTATTTATAGTAATATCTCGTTGTGTCGCATTTACATCCTTAATAACTAAATTGTAGCAGTAATTAACTATTGCATAATAGCATTGCATTCTCTCATATTAATTGCAGCTGCACTCCTGTTGTATATATAGCAGTTTTCTGTTATAATACCCTCTTTGTAAAAAAGCCGAGGAACCAAGAAGGACTTTTGCGATTGTGACGAAATTTGGTACGCAAAAACATCTTGATCGAACATGCAATTGATCAGTTTCAAAGCAAATGAACAGGAATTGCGATCATAGCGCGCATTTCTAGTGCGCATTTCGCAAAGCATAAAATCAGCTACAGAGGCGGAAAATTAACCTTTTTTTGTTGGTGCCATTGTAATTCCGTAAAGAAGCAATTAAAGATACCATTACGACGATATCGAAGACCTTACAGACAACTAAACGACTTCGAACTGGTCGCATTGTAGGGTTGCATGAAGTTGGGTGGTCATACCGAGCAATAGGCCACCAGCTGCAGCGTACACACACACTGCGGTGGAAAGATGTTGGTAGCAATGGTTGTTGCAAGGAAATTGCCTACGAAATGAAGGCTCTAGAAGGCGCAAGGAGCACAAATGCGAGGCAAGGTAGGATAATTGTTCGCGTTCGTAATAACGCGATGTCGATTTTTCAACGCACTACAGTCACGTCTATACCTAATGTGGTACCATCCACCACCTCACGGTGCTTATCTGAGGCGGGGTTAAGCTCACAGAGGCCTTTAAGATCTTTGCCTTTGGCCACACGACATCAGTGGAGTCGTCTGGAATGGTTTCGCAGCCGATCATCATGGCTGCCGTCAGACTAGCATCGTATAGTGTTCAGAGATGAACCCGTTTCACTCTTGAAGCATATGGCCACCGTGTTCGTGTCTGGGGAGGACGGGACCAGCGGTCGCAATCAGCATTTGTTTTTGCAAAGACATACAGCCGTAACCCCTGGTGTAAGGGTGTGGGCC